GTATCATTCACACTGAAGAAGGTCCAAAACTTGGGACCGAAACGTTTGTGACATTTTAATAAATCCATTGATTATACACGTCCATCTTGTAATTATTGCTCGTATCGGCCTTTCATTTTAATTGACAATTTCACGAGCGAACTACTGATTAAATGTACTATACATTTTCAGTAGTCAACATCGAGATGTGGTAGGCGAATTCGGTTGTCTTGCACTTTCGCACCGATGCGCTGCCTCGACGTAATTCCGGTGCAACATTGAACTTACTTAAAAAGGATCAATTGTACACCAATGAAGTGAACGTTAAAAAAAATTAAGCAATTAATTTACTCGAATGTCTGCGTCACAATCTGATATAAATTTGCTTCACTTTTATCATTTTTATCTCACACAATCGATCATCAGAACTCGATGATATAGCACTGCACTTTTGTGAGTCAGACACTGACATTTGCCAACGTAATGACGTATACGTAAGCTTCTGGTTCCCGTATATGAAAAAAAAAAAAGTACAAAATCATGTTAAAAACTGCTTTTAGCGATTTTGCACATAGATCAGTTAGGTTCAATGAGTAAAGCACAATCAAGCAAAGAAGCATTATGTATTTTTCATTAGTGAGAAGTGTGAGTTGTCTGAACTTAAAAAAAAAAATCTTAGAAGGACACAAACACGTACACGTTATAAAACCCCCGACACATAACATCCATTTGATCCAGCCCTGAGTCGCTCGGCTTCCGAACCGTGCCGAACGTGGACGGAAATTGCCGAACGTGTCCCGTCACGCGGCAGTCGAATCCAATCGGGTTGACGGGTGTCTACGCGACGGCACGCGGCAGTGTTGGCAGAAGCGCGTTTCGTGATGGTGTGGTGGTAGAAAGCTACGTCGGAGCGCGCAATAGCATACTAGCAGCACAAGAGAGTGAGAGAGAGAGAGAGAGAGAGAGAAAGAGAAAGAAAGAGAGAGAGGAAGAAAGAGAAAGAAAAAAAAAGAGCACATTACGCGAGGTACGTAAGGATGAAGGATATATGAACGGTGTTTGCTGTGACAGTTCGTGCGCAAAGAGAAGGTCGTGCTGCATCGCGAGCTCCGGGCTCTTTCTCACGGAACGCGAAACGAACGCTAACGAAAACGGCACCAGGAACCGTTCGCGTGGATTATGTACGTGACAGAAATGGTCGGGGACAGTTCGAGAAAGTGGCGAGGACTGTAAAAAGAGGTTGCGTGTGTGCGGCAGTGCGTGCACATCAGCGGCTATAGCAGTCTGCAGTAGCGACGACGGTCACGACGGCGGCGACGACGACGACGACGACGGTGTGCTGGTGGTTGCCAGGAGGGCTTTAACAGTGACGGTTAACTGGCGCGCTGACGAAGGTGCTCCGATGTTACTTCGGTGCTGGTAGAGGGAGAGGTGACACAAGCGTGTTCCTATGTGTATGTTACGTGCTTGTTGGCCCGGGTGTTCGTATGTATTAGTGCGATACGCATCTGATCGGCGCGTCTCCTCTTCCTAATCCTCCTCGTCGTCCGCCGCCGCCGCCGCCGCCGCCGCCGCCGTCGTCGTCGTCGTCGTCGTCGTTGTATCGTCGTCGTTGCGTCGTCTCGCTCCGTCCTACTACCGCGCGTCGTCATCGGCGGCGCGATCGTCGTCTCAGTCGGCGGCGCGGCCTCCTCTCGCTCCGCTCCGCGTAACGCGCTGTCGTCGTTGCCGTCGTTTCTCTCAGTCGCTCTCGCCGGGGGCCACCGCACCGAAGGCGTCCGTGCGACGAGCCAGACCAGCCGCTACGCAAGATGGCTATGTGTCGCTGACGAGAGGCCGACAAACCGGACAGGGAGTACAGACAAGCCCGTGGATAAGCGGAACATGTGGCTACGTGATCGTTGGGCCCGTCCCTGAAGAGAGAGACACTGGCCAAGAAGCGAGAGGTGAGTTTCTCCTTGCCTATATACGTGCGCCGTATTCTTGCAACAAGCCTTCTCTCTGTCACTCCTCTCGCAACACCGGATTTTTTTCGCTCGTCTCTCTCTCCGTCGAGGACGGAGAGATTGTTTCCGATGGTCGTTAGGTGTTCGTTCGTTCGTTCGTTCGCTTTTTCTTCTGCCTCGCTCGCTGCCGCGACGTGTTCCTCGAGAAAACGATACTTTCGGCGTCTCGTACAGAGACTTTCAAGCCGCGCGACACAGCGCAGCGCGACGATACGCCGCTGACGACGTGACAGGACGACGGAGGAGACGTCCGGTGTGTGTGTCTTGTCGCACGCCGATGGCAACGAGCGAGCGAGCGAGCGAACCATACGTGGACTCTGCCAGATTCGCGAGCAGAAATACACGCACACTTATACGAACGCGCGGTTCACGCATACGTTGCGAAGCGTATGAAGAAGAGTGTAAACAAGTTACGAGTCTTGGGTAATCTTCCTTAGTGTGACACTGGTCAATGGTTTTCAGAATTTAGACGATAAGGATTTTATTGGACAGTATTCTTTTCGCAAACGAGATATCTACTTGTTCTCTCTCTCTCTCTCTCTCTCTCTCTCGCTCTTTTTGACCAAAAAAATTCGCACATCATCGGATATCTTCCACGTCGACGTGGAATCGCCACCGCACTCTCGTATCTCGCGCGAAGTTTTCGCATATCGATAACAGAGGCCTGGCCCCGGTGTCTCTCTTTCTCTCCTTTCTCTATCGCCCGTCGCTATTTCTCTCGTGCCCGTGCGTATCGCCCTCTCTTTCTCTCTTGCCCGGTGTGTATGTCTGCGTGGCTCGCGGTTCTCTATCGGTGTCTGTACTTTGTCGGTCGCACTTTCCCCCGGTGCCAGTCTCTCCGTTCTGTCGATTGAATGGCTCCTGCCTTCGTCCATACACACGCGCATCATGCACACACAATCGCGAAATAGAAAACCAAGACCCTTCTTTCGGGAACATCTGTCGGGCTGACCGTCAGTCATAACTTTTGAAAAATTACAGGAGGCCCGACGTCGTCGTCGTCGTCGTCGTCGTCGTGCGCGCGTGAGCGACGCCTTGGTGGTGGCATTCTTCGACACGTCGATGTGCGTCTTATTTTTGAATCTCGTTTCGCAGCAATCCGATCCCCGACCGAAAACCGCGACGGTTCTCTATATCGTCGCCGCGACGCTCTTTATATTTTATCCGGAACGGAAGCGGTCCCGGCTTACATATATATACATATATATATATATATATACGTATAAGCGGCTTTATGCGGATGTACATACGGTTGTTGTAATTGTTTTAGCAAAGCATTTGATAAAATTGCGCGTTTATTGTTTGCGATTTCTTCGAAATCGGAATACTACCATACAATCGGAGCCGTCTTTTATCTAGACGCGCGCTTCGCTGCAAAATTCAAAAAAAGTTCAGCCGCAAAGACGCGAAGCATATGGTTTCGCCGAAGAGAAACGTGCGATTTTTATACAGAGTGACCGTTTTGACAGGCTCGTCCTCGGGATCAGTCGATCTGTTCGACATAACCTAGAAATCGTGAGCTGTACGCTCGTGGAATGACGAAGGCATTCTCACATCGTGCGCGTCGCGACGCCGAAATGGGCGTAACTTACGTTCAGAAACTTCTGTCGTCAGTACCATGAATTATTCACAGCTTTTCTCGCTGCTCTTTCCTTATCTTTCTCTTTCTGCGGTATTATTCAGGATAAACGGCATTTTTTTTCTTCCCTTTTTTTTTTCCCCCCCTAAAATAGCATAATTTTCCCGGTGTGGAAATGTACCGGAGCAGAAGCGGAAATCATTTCGTATACAGAACATTGCGTTCGATGTGACATAGAATTTTAAATTGTTTTACGTCATTATTTTGACACGAGTCGCCTTTCAATTTGGTTTTTTTTCCCTCATGTTTTTCAATATCTTGTCAATGCAATTTTTTAAAATAAAATTTTACTTTTTCACATTCACTTTGCTCATTATCACTCTCAAGATCAGCAGTTTAACATGAATAATGCAGGTGTAAAAAACGATCGAGACTGTGTCATTAAAAAAGCTGATTTACAGACTTTTACAAATACGATTAGAGCCAGGTTTGCCTTGGCTCCGCTTTACAACGCGCGAACTCCGTTACCTGACATTCTCCTTTTTACTCACTTTCATTTCATACAATTATGACTGACTGGATTTTTAATCGCCACTAACTGATCGTCGTCGTCGTCGTTGTCGTCCACATTACGTGTGTTGTGACGAAACGTCACCGCGGGCCTTGAAAATAAATTACCGTGCAAGTTGTGTCCGAGATGAATTGGTTTCCCGTTTGAAATTTTTTTTTTTTTTTTTCTTACGGAACAAATAAGTTTCTACTGCAGAAGCCTCGTCCTTCAGAAAATTCTGATTATCGCGCATCGGGTATAATATTACGTTTTATTGCTGTACGTCTTGTTCCCGCATTTGGCTTGGCGAGCCAGCGGCGCTGCGAAAACATCTGCCGCTCGCAGTCAACGTGACGACGAGTCACATCGAGCCGCGCGTCGCGGAGGAAACCTTTCTGGATCGCGATTTCCTCGCGTCACGCTATTGCTCACGATTGTCGGCGCGCACGCAGTTATCGTTTGCCGACGTCGTACTTGTCCGTCGACGACGGTTGTTAAACCGAACGCACACACATGGATAACATACACATGTGAACACACAGATACACGCGTGCGCGCGCGTAAACAAGTATCGATACGGAACACCTCTATCAGCAGCAGAAACGGAGTTTCCGCAAATGTTGATTCTTGTTGTACAATTAGTCGCGAGATTTACACGAACGAATTTATAAATATATGTGCACGATCTATTCACTCGATTAGATTTTACTTGATTAAACTTTTTATAAACGATGTTTGTGGTTAGAGACTGTTATTGCGTGCAATTGAGCAACCTCGTGCGATCAAATCTCAATTGCAATATTCACGTCGGCAAGAAAGCGCTTCGTTGTATTATTTCGCAGACAGTGTAATTTAATTCACACACACAGAGAGACACGCACGCACGTACGTACGTGCGTGCGTGTGTTGATTTTTCGACACACCCTGTATATATGCGCGCGGGCTGGGTGGTTTCGTTCGAATATCGGTGGGCTTCGACCGCCGTTCCATGCGGGTCTCTCTCTCTCTATACCTGGGCATTATGGAGAGCCCGGGAGAGTTGCCCTTCGTTTTCGGCAATAGGCATTGTCGTAGACACATCGCTCTCTCCCAGTCCGTGTCCGTTGAAGCGGGCGTTGAAACGTGTCTGGGAGTGCCCCGAGCCCCGAGTGCTGTAATTAGCAATTTTAGCGAGAAGACCAGGCTTGAATTTGGTAAGAGCTTATCGATTCGCAGGCTCGGCTCTCTCTCTCTCTCTCTCTCTCTCTCTCTCGGCAGCTACATTTCGACGTTAACTCGCCGGAAATCGCGTGATTATTGCGTCGCTCGAAAACAGACCGTTCTGTCTTTTCTTTTTACACACTTAAAAAAAACAAAAAAAAAAACAGAAAAGACGCATAAAGAAACGTCGTATTGAGCTCTTTGTTGTTGAAAACAACGTGCGTTAAAGAAAACATCGTAGAACTCATTTATTATCGCTGGCAATGCGTATATGAATAGCTATTTATACAACCTCCTTCGAGTACAAAGTTGAGAAGATATGTCTCTTTTTTTGCATTATTTTATTTCCAGACGAAAAAAATGCACAAACAAAATTTATTTTCCCCGTCAACTTATCTCTGCGTAGTAGTAGTTTTTTTTTTTTTTTTTTGTTTTTGACATCTAAATCCATTGGCACATACGGCGCGAATTCTGAAACGCGAGTTCGAGATATACGCACGACAAGATAATACGACGACGATTTCGAGGAATCGCGTGCGCGAGATACGGCCAGCCAAAGTGCGGGAATGGATTGTGCCACATTTCAAAAAATATTAGCGATGCACCGTCGTTTTAATGGCTCATTGTCGTACACCCGGGCGACGATATTTCGCAAACGACGCGCTCGAATGGACGCATTATATAAACTCTCCCGTCGCTTTGGTGAATGCAAATGTAGCACAGTTCCTTGCATTTACTCGATGAGAGTATTATTTATTTCCTTTTTCTTGGATTTCTCCTCAAATTGTCGTGTTTGCTTAATCGTGACAAATTGTAATATCTCATTTCGATTCGGCTTTTTATATTCGTTTAAGCGCGTTAATTCTCACCAACCACGAGCGTAGCGACGACGACGTTGATACGTTTACGTGTAACTTTCCACTTCACAAAATCATTATTTTATCATTAATTTATCATAATTCCAAATTTATGAATATTATCACGTTTTGTGTTTTTTTTTTTGTTTTTATTTTTAAAGGAAAACTCGTGAAAATATTTAAAATATTTGTATGTTAGCAGTGTGGACTATCAAGTTGTTATTTTTACATTACGGATAGACACAGTCGGTACCATGTTCGGATATCCCTTATCCGAAGTCGTTATTCGAAATTACCGATAATGGTCGTTACTTGAAATTCTTCGTGCGTACATTATATACTAAATTATAGGTAATTATGCAGTTATACGGACTATTTTCCGATCTCAACAATTTTGACATATGTTATCAAGGTCACCTCTCTGAATAATAATATGAAGGTTTTATCCGTCGCTCATTGTTTATAAAAAA